CATTTCTACACAATGGAGTATTACTCTGCATTAAAAAATGACAAAATCATAGAATTTACAGGGAAATGGATGGCATTAGAGCAGATTATGCTAAGTGAAGCTAGCCAATCCCTAAAAAACAAATGCCAAATGTCTTCTTTGATATAAGGAGAGTAACTAAGAACAGAGTAGGGTCGAAGAGCATGAGAAGAAGATTAATATTAAACAGGGATGAGAGGTGGGAGGGAAAGGGAGAGAGAAGGGAAATTGCATGGAAATGGAAGGAGACCCTCAGAGTTATACAAAAGTACATACAAGAGGAAGTGAGGGGAAAGGGAAAAATAATACAAGGGGGACAAATGAATGTCAGTAGAGGGGGCAGAGAGAGAAGAGGGGAGGGGAGGGGAGGGGGGGTAGTAGAGGATAGGAAAGGCAGCAGAACACAACAGACACTAGTATGGCAATATGTAAATCAATGGATGTGTAACTGATGTGATTCTGCAATCTGTATATGGGGTAAAAATGGGAGCTCATAACCCACTTGAATCAAATTGTGAAATATGATATATCAAGAACTATGTAATGTTTTGAACAGCCAACAATAAAAAATTAAAAAAAAAAACATGCTGTCAAATACTTGAAACATTTTCTTAAGGAAAAAACCAATCCTAATTTTATTAACAAATCTGTATTTTTATAGAATTTGAATGTTCTTCCTGTCTCCCAACTCCATGTCAATATGGTCTAGATGCCGCACAGTTTATTTCTTTCTTGAAGAAGAGTTCCCCATAACAAGCATATTTCTCCAGGGACAGCTTCCTAGGCACATGGCAGGACTAGTTATTCTCTCCTTCTTGGCTTCATGAGCATATTAACAAATGTGCTGCTGCTTCATTGCCCTGCCTCCCCTGGGATACCACAGCAAGCAGTTGGACTTCATGGATTTGTAAATGAAAAGGTACAAACTCAAGTGAGTTCTGCAGCTGGGCAGGTAGCACAGTGTGTTTTTCCAGTGACAATTGAGATAGCCCAGACAAAGAACACGTAACATCCCTAAAAGCAACATAGACCGTCTTCTGTCTTTAAATACCACTGTGGACTGATGAAACAAATGCTGGACTTTGTCCACTGTCTGCCAATCTGTGACCCTGGAACCTACCAGGCTCTGGTGTTCCAGCCACACATGTGACACTGGGCCATCTGATATTCTTACCATACTGAGCAGGTAAAACACAGCAGGCTCCAAAATAAACTCTTTTGAAAAGGAAGGATTTCACTATAAAATGACCAATGATTTATTTTAAATCTTTCAGGAATAAAATTTCAGATGATCCTCAGTTTCTCATGACAGTTAGATTTTGGTTGAGGTTCCTTTTTGCAAAGTCAAAGATATTATTTATTCAGCAAATAGTATTAATAATATTAATATTTATTTAGCTTACTATGTGGCAGGCCTAGACTAAGTGTATGCACATAATTTCTTTTATTTTTCAATATGATTTTTTTACTGAACAAATTTATGGGTTACAGGGTGACTTTCGATATTAGATATAATATGCACTAATAAAATCCAGATTATTATTAAAGTTTCCGTCTCCTTATCACTGTTTTGTTTGGGACCTTCAGGCTCTTCTCATTTACTTGTTCATAAAATACATAATAGTTTCATTGTGGACTATAGTTCCTCCATGGTTCTATAGAACACTAGAGTTTTTTACTTCTGTCTGCGTTTTAGTATCCATTATCCAACCTCCCACTCTCCCACTTTCCACCACCCTTCTCAGCCTCTAATAATCCATATCATATATTCCAGTCAACTTTTTTAAACATTTCACATAAGAAAGAGAATATGTGGAAATTGACCTTCTGTGTCTGGCTTATTTCACTTAACATAATAACCTCCAGCTCGAGTCATTTTGCTGCAACTGATAGATAATTCATTTTCAATACCCGAATAATATTCCATACTCTGTGTGTGTGTGAGGGTGTGCGTGTGTGTGTGTGTGTGTATGAGAGAGAGAGAGAGAGAGAGAGAGAGTATACACAGCATTTCTTTTCCATTCACCTATTATTAATGTGCATCAAGGCTAATTCCATATCTTAGCTATTGTGAAAAGTGCAGCCATAAACAAGCTTTGGTGTGCTGATATAATTTCCTTTGTATGTATACTCAGAAGTGGGATAGCTATATGATATGGTAGTTCTATTTTAATTATTTAAGAACCACCATAATGGATGTGATCATTGACATTCACTCCAACAGTATATATGAGTTCCCTCTGCTCCACATCCTTGCCAGCATTTTTATTTTTAACTTTTATACAATAGTCTAACTGGGATGAGCTGTTATCTCATTGTGGTTTTGACTTGCTATTTTCCTGAAAGGTAATGAAGTTGGGCATTTTTTCATGCATTTGTTTGCCATTGTGTTTCCTCTTTTGAGAAAGTGCCCATTCATATTGTGTGGCCATTTTAATTGGATTATTTGGTTTTTGTTATTGGGTTTTTTAAATTATTTATATATTCTGCATATTAGTTCTTTGATGAATGCTTTGCAAAGAATTTTCCCAACTGTAGATTGTTTCTTCGTTCTGTTGATGTATAGAAATTTCTTAGTTTGATATAATACCACTTGTTAGTTTTTCTTTTGTTATTTTATCCAAAAACCTTGCTACCTATACCAATATCTTAAAGCATTTCCTCTGTGTTTTCTTCTGCTAATTTCATAGTCTCATGTCTTTCATTCGGGTATTTAATCCATTTTGAGTTTCCTTTTTATAGGATGAGAGGGAGCAAGTCTCAGTCTTCTACATGTGAATATCCAGTTTTCCCAGAATCATTCATTGTAGAGGCCATCCTTCTCCTGTGTGCACTTTTAGCACCTTTGTGAAGAATCAGTTGACTTTAAATATATAAGGTTACTTCTGACTCTACTCTGTTACACTGGTCTTTGTGTGTTTTGATTTGTATAACTTTCAGTATACATCGAAGTCAGCTAATGTGGTACTGACCAACTTAGTTCTTTTTGGTCAAGATGGCCTTGGTTCTTTGATATCCTTTGTGCTTCATATGAACTTTAGTACTGTGTTTTCTAGTCTTATGAAGAATGCCTTTGATATTCTAATGGGGATTGCATTGAATCTGTGGATTGTTCTGGGTCGACTGAACATTTTACGATATTCATTCTCTGATCCAGTAGCATGGGAAGTCTTTCCCTTTTTTGTGTGTCCTCTTTAAATTTTTTATTAGAATTTGGTAATTTACATTGTAGAGGTATTTAACTTCCCTGGTTAAATTGATTTCTAGGTATTTTACTTTTTATAACTATTATGATTTTGCTTTCATGATTTCTTTCTTAGTAATCTCATTATTTGTGTATGAAAAAGCTACTGATTTTTGTATGCTGATTAGTATCATACAGTTTTGCTGAATTTATCAGTTCCAATAGTTTTCAGTGCAGTTGTTAGGTTTTTCAATACATACAATCATCTCATCTGAAAATGAGGATAATTTGACTTCCTTTGTTCCTTCTTTCCTATCTGTATACCTTTTTATTTGTTTTTCTTGCCTACTTTCTCTGTCAAAGACTTCTGGTACAATGTTGAATAAGAGCAGTGGCCTTGAACATTCCTGTCTTATTTCAGATATTGGAGGAAATGCATTCAGCTTTTCCCTGTTCAGTATGATGTTGGTTATAAGTTGATTGTACATAGTATTTATTATGTTTAGGTACAATCCTTCAATGCCTAAACTATTCAGTTTTTACCATAAAACGGTGTTGAATTTTTCCAGATGCTCTTTTTATATCTGTTTAAATTATATGATTTTGTCCTGCATTTTGTTGATGGCACATTTATCCCTAGGATAAATCCCATTTGATTATGCTGAATGATCCTTTTGATATACTGTTGGGGTTTTAGTCAGATTTTTTGCTGTTGTGACTAAAAGACCCAACAAGAACAATTTTAAGGGAACAAAAGTTTATTTGAGGGCTCATAGTTTCAGAGGTCTCAGTACATAGATAGCTGGTTCCATTCCTTGGGGTGTGAGGTGAGGCAGAACATCATGGTGGAAGAGTGTAGGAGAGGAAACAGGTAGGGACATGGCAGTAGGAAGCAGAGAGAGAAAGTATTCTTGCTGGAGACAGAATGTAAATCCCAAAGGCATGCCTCTAATGACCCACCTTTTCCAGCCACACCTTACCTGCCTATAGTTAATCCCTATCAGTGGATTAATGCACTGATAAGGTTAAGGTATCATAACTCCATCATTTCACTTCTAAAGTTTCTTGCATTGTCTCACACATAAGCTTTTTTTTTTTTTGGGGGGGGGGGGGGGGGGACATAATATTAAAACATTAAGAATCAGGTCTGAAATGCTAGCATTTTGTTAAGAATTTTTATATCTATGTTGATCAGGGATATTGGTATATAGGTTTGTTGTTGTTGTTGTTGTGTCCTTGTTGGTTTCAGAATAAGGATAATGATGACCTTGAAGAATGAGTTTGGAAAAATTCATTATATTTCAAAATTTTTGGAATGATTTAAGAATAATTGATATTAATTCTTCCTTAAAAGTTTGGTAGACTTCAGCAGGGAGCCAATCTAATTCAGGTCTTTGCTTTGTTGGGAGAATTTTTATTATTGATTCAACATCATTGCTCATTTTTTTATCTGTTTAGGTTTTCTGGGTCTTCATGGTTCAATTTGGGTAGAACAAGAAAATGACATGTCCTACAAATAACACAGAACTTTTGTTTCAGCTTTTCTCTCTCTCCTGTGCCTTTATATTTTTCAGTGCTGAAATGCATTATTTTTCCTGTAACACTAGATGCCAGCTAAGCCCCACCATCCTTAGGAAAAAATGCACTGGTTTGTACTGGTTTATTTGGTAACTACTTGTACACAGTTAAGAATGAGAAACACCAATGGCTTATTTTAAGAGTGTCCTTTAAAAGTGTATTTTGTCCCAATTTTCCATATGTTGACTGCCCTTTAAAACACCCTCCCCTCATTTTGTAGACAAAGCTCGGATGGAGAGTCCAGCCTTTTCTACTGCGAGCGGCTATCTGGCCTCTGGGCAGGAAGAGCTCATTCTCCTGCAGGAGAAAGTCAAGAAAGGGAAAATATCTGTGGATGAAGCTCTGGAGAAATTTAAGCACTGGCAGATGGAAAAGAGTGGCTTGGAAATAATTCAGCAGGTAATACTGACCCCAATCTTTTCTGAAATATCCTCTCACTTATGGAGCTCCTAAACTCTTTGTAAATGTTTAGTCTTCACAAGAAATACAGGTAACTCTTCTTTTGTTTTTAACTAGCCATTGAATTATGCTTCAAACAACCAATTAAAAATTTGAAAATAATATCCAAATTTCATATTTACTAGTTCATTTATTCAAACTCAGTCCTGGAACCCAATGTATCAAACTGAATGGCAAATGAGCTTATAATAACCATCTGTACTACAGCGAATGTTTTTTGGAATCTAATTGTTGAAATTAAGGTGAAGCCTCTTTACACAAACGTGCTCTTCATTCCAAAGAGTGAATATAAACCAGGCTTAACAGAAGCAAGAAAATGACAGAAGTCACATCAAGGAATTGCCCTAAATGTAATATGTTTTATTTTCTTTCTCCTTAGTATTTGCAAGGAGTGGGTAAAAACATGTATATATCACGCAGAATTTATAGAAAACTTCCAAAAATATTAAGCTGAGATAACCATGTCTTATGCAAATATAATTTATATACTAAGAGAGGATTGGAGGAGGAGTCATTGAGATAAGAATGAAAACCAGATATATCACTATAACTCTCAGTGAAGGGTGTCAGGACCACATTCTCTCACACAGTCCTTGGCACTAAAAAAATATTATCATATTTTTTTCTTCTCATCACAGGAAAATTTATTGCCTCAGAAGCCACTTCTAAGGTAGCTATTTGATTAAACATGCTTAATAAGCGAATTTAGGCCAAAATACAAATAATAATAGTTTCATATGCTACATTCACCAGGAGATGATTTTTATTTTAAAGGTAATGCTTAGGAGAACACTTTTTAAACAATAAAAAAAATGAGTCATAGTGATGAAATTTCAAACAATATGGCATAGAGGCAAGAGACAGTGTAGACAAAGGGACTTTCCAAATATATCTGAAATGGCACCTTGTCAGAAACCACCTATCTCTAAGGGCGGTTCTGGTGGTGGAATGATTGCTGGACCTTGTCCAGATTTTGCAATGCTAAGTAAAGAGAGTTATTTTGCCAAGCAAATGCTAAACAACACCCATCGCAACATTCTGGAACTGGTTTTGCTCATGATCAGAGTTACAACATTGCTTCTCCACCCTTTCCAATCTCATCACCATCATATCCCCTTGTCCTGAAATAAGGCAAAATCTGCATTAATACAAACCTACTAAACATTTTCCTAGCAGTGCTACATTTTGCAGGTTTTGCTGAAGTAAGTCAAGCATACTTTATCTTCCTCAACATTTTAATAAAGATTTCAGTTTAGAGTAATCTCATTTCTTGGAAATGATTTCACTAGTTGTTTTATTAAACTCCCTGTTGTTTGTATTTTGTCTGTATGTTTATATCCAGTCTTATTTTTGAGAGAATTTAAGGTAAACCATACTCTCTACATGGGAACTGATCTGGCTAATTTGACATAGAAGGATAATGAGATAATAAATAAGCACCTATGAAAAAAATGTAGGGTTTTTGTTTAATCTATAAATGTAGGCCACCAGACACTAAGACTACTTTTCATAAGAGCCCAACACTTAGTGACTCTGTTTGAGTACTATTAGAGAAATTAGTACTCAATAGAGGGGCCTCAACAAAGGTCCAAACAGCAAAAAAAAAAAAATTAAAAAGAATATTCTCCCTGTTGCCCAACACACACTCTCACACACACAAATTCCTTTCCACATAGTTTTAAATATTCTCTTACAGATGCAAAAGTAGTCTTTTTTTCCTGGGGATGAGTTAATCAGCAGTAACTGTGAAATTATATTTTTTATTGAAAATGACACAAATGGCATTAATGGTAGAAGAGTTTTCAGAATAATAAAGATCCATGGCAATGGAGAGGAGATAGTGGAGAAAGTGAATGCCTTGCCTTTTGCTCTTCTCACTCCTCATCACATCATGGCCTAAAGAGTGTGGTTCCACTCAGAGGCGAAGATCTGTAAAGCAATGGAAATAGTTTCTACGACTCTAGGGAAACACATAAGGAAAATGTTCTATCTCAGGTTGTCTTCTAAAAATAGGTTTATGAACGCTAGTTGTTGTTTTTTTTCTTTCTGGTGAAAAAATAGATGTTCAATATAGAATATCAACAAAACAAAAAAGGATCACAAATGTGCTAAGAAGGAGAATCTAGGTAGACATCATTTTCTCCTGAGTACCTAATTCTAAGAACTAAAACACAAGGAAATAATAATACCCTACAGAGACAAGATGGGCTCAGGCAATTGTAAACCATCACTGTGTAGCTCTTCTGCTTTGGGACACTGTGTTGGTCAGCTTCACATGCTACAACCAAAATATCTGACAAGTACAAGTTAGAGGAGAAAAGTTGATTTGGGGCTCATAGATTCAGATATCTAGTCCATAGATGGCTGACTCCATTGCTCTGGGCTCAAGATGAGGCAGCACATGGTGGAAGGGTCTGGTGGAGAAGCTCTGCTCCCCTTATTGCAGCCAGGAAGCAGAGAGAAAGAACAGGCCACATGAAATGCAGCATTCCAGGCTATGCCACCAGTGAATCACCTCCTCCAGAAATGCTCCACTTGCCTACAGGCACCAAGAGTCCATCCATTTAAATTTGGATGGACTAAGTTACAATTCTCACACTCCCATCATTTCACCTCTGAAAATCCCTGTATTAACATAGGACCTTAAGGGGAATACCTCATATCCAAACCATAATGGACACCAAGCAGCCAATGTGGTAGACCCCACGTGTGTTAAGGTGGGAAAACAAATCCTGAAGGCATTAGGATATGGTTACAAACCTGACTCTACCACTTATTACTGTCTGATTTGGGACAGTTACTTAACATCTCTGTACCTTAGTCTTTATGTCTGTGAAATGGAATGAGAATATTTTACATCCAATCCATAAAGGGCTGAGAATTAAGTAAGAAACTACATGAAAAGTACCAAAAATGGTGATTGGGACATCCTAAGTAGCACATTAATACCAATGAGTTGTGATGGTGTTGATAATGGTAGCCAATGTTACATTTTGATCCATGAAAAAAATTTTAACCATTGTCTTCTGTGTCCTGGTTCTATATTCTATGTCCTGTGTTCTCATTCAGGAAAAACTACGTCAACTCCGAGATAGCATTATTGGGAAAAGGCCAGAAGAAGAACATTTCTATGGTAAGTGAAATTTGACTCAAAAATACAAATAGAATAGAAAACACAGGGACTGTGTAGTCAAATAGACCTAAGTTCATAACTATACCTCATCACTTTCCACCTGCCTGACCCTGAAAGAGTTTTAAACTCTGGTTCTCAGGTTCCTTGTCTGGAGAACAGTGATTTATATATATATCTGGGAATGCTTGTGTGAGTTAACATTTCTATTCTGTATCCCACAGTGGACCTTCGATCAATGCCATTTCTTACTTTTGATAGTTACAAATAAGATAATTCTGCTCCAGTTATTTTATTTGCCATTACCCAGGGACTCAAATAATTAAGGAGTCACATGTTTAATAAGGTAGAATTTTCTCAACGTAGTCTATTCTCACAATTATCCACATGTGAATAATTTAAATTATAAATCTCTGATTGACTTTTCCTAGCACTCATATATTTCTTGGCAATGCATATTCCCCACACTAATAATTAACAGTTGTTCTGGTGGGGGGCAGCACTCAATGTTAATACAAACCAAACATTATTAAGATGGTAAATCTTCTCCAAAGATGAACAACACACTCTAAAATTGCTAATAAATTATGTTGTCACTATCTGACCATTCTTTTACCAAATCTCTCCTCTTGCACAGATAATTAAAAACTAACAACCACTAAAAAGGCTTGAAAGCTTCCATCTCTTCCATTTTCAATAATATTGTGTAGCTTTTAGCTAGTGCTTCATGTTGAAATTCACCAGGTGGAAATTCATTTCTTTTCATATTATTGAGCACTCTATGTTCCCCTAGATAATTCTTTATGCTCTTTCAGAAATGCTTTCTAAAACAGACATATATTTTCTAAACTAATTAAGGTCATAAACATGGGTCAGATTAATAGATATCTGAACCCCACAAACCTTCGTTCTAATGTAGAATAAGGTAAAATCAAAACTTTTGCAGATAATTTTACTAAGGAACATGAACTAGTAGTAGTAATAGTAGTAGTAGTAGTAGTAGCAGTAGCAGCAGCTAATATTTACAGAGCACGTACTACACACTGTTGTTTCTTATAATAACCCTATTATGGAGGCCTTATTCCTAATCTATAAATAAGGGAACAGGCTTTGAAAGACTAAAAAATAAACAAAAACACCCAAGGACATGAAGAAACTACCACCCATTTCTGTTTGAATTCAAAATCAGTGTTCTTAATCATTGGCATTTTAACCAAGAATCAATTGGTTCTCCTTTCAGCCACAATGGAACAAATAGTACTACCAGACATAAACTCTCATTGTACAGAATGTTAATATTAGTCAAAGATAGGAAGCTTCTGATTTCAGAAAATATACAATGGGCAGATGAATATTATAGAGATTGTAGATCAGGTAAGCTGAAGCTACTGGATTGTATGTGGTGGTTCATTGAAGAGGAATGGCCTCAGAGACCCATGTGAGGGGCTCCTCAAGCGTAAAGCTGAAAGATGAGCTGTAAGTGCAAAGTTAAACCACTCAAGGCATACAAGAGGGCAACATCTAGGGCGTTGAAAGCAAGCGGAAGCACTAGAGGTTGAGCAGAGCTACAGAAAAGCCCTGTTGAGGCTGTGTTTCTGTCTTGCCTACTTAAAACACCTAGAATCCTATTGTGACATTCAAAAGATGTACAGAGGAAGGACCATGACTTAGAGTAACAACTCCTCTAGATGCACCCCAACAAAGCCTAAAGCTCATCCCTACAAGATGCATATCAGAGACAGGGTTTGTGTGCTGGGTCCTTCCAAGCTCACAAAACACCTGGGCTTTCTACAAATCAATATCAACAACAGAATAAAATCAAACCTACACAACCACATGTCAAAATTTGAAACTTCTGCTAAAAAAAGAATCTAGGCCATCTGAGGAATATTATAAAATTCATAATATGCAACAGATTATAACTGGCAGGATTCAATTTTCAAAATAAGAAAAAATATGACATACAAAGATATAGGCATCTATAGTGAAGAAAAAGAAAACCATCAACAGAACCTGAACCTGAGATGACACCATTGTTGACCTTAGCAGATGGAGACTTTAAAGAAGCTCTTATAAAAATACTTAACTAATGAAAACAAATGGTTTGAGGAAGTGAATAAATAGGAAATATCAACTGAAACTACATACAGGAAAAAGTAAAAAATTGTAGAAAATAAAATTATAATAAATATAAAAATGAAAAAGATATCAGATGAGCTCATCAGCAAATTGACTATAGCAAAGTAATAATTAGTGAATATGCATATAAAGCAATAGAAATTACCCAATATGATGAGCAGGGAGATAAAAGAACTTCAAAAATGAATAAATTCCCAAGGACATTTAAGATAATATAACACTTTATTATGCATGTGATTAGGTAGAGCCACATAATAAGACAAAACATTTTGAAAGAAATAATGTCCAAAAACTTAATGTTCAAATTTTATGTAAACCACTTTATGGATTTCTAAGAAATTTTTTAAAAACCCACAAATAACATAATTGTTAAAAGAGTGACAACTAAGCAACTTGTGGTTAAACTACTTTAAGCCAAGATAAGAGAAAATTTTTCAAAGCACCTGAAGAGAAATGAAATAAGAGAATTCATAGTAAAACTTCAATAAAATAAACACAAAAGAATGCCATACAGGTTGAAAGACATATTAAAGAAAAGAAGCTTAAAGGGAAAAATAATGCTGAGAATTATACAAAGCAGATTGATATAAAATATTACCTTTTATTTCTTTTTATAAACTATCTCAAAAACAATAACAAATACTAAAACTTAATTTAGAGATCAAAGCATGTGAGAGAGAGAAAAGATTAAAATAAGCACAAAAAGAAAAGAGGTTGCAGATAAGACAAACTATGTGTTTGAAAAAGTTTTACATGATAAAGTATGCTGTAGAATATGAAGTTAAGAGGAAGGGATAAAGTAGGAAGTATGAGGAGTCAAACATGAGGCATAAAACATAAATGGATAGATATTTATCTATCTGATAAATTAAAATTACTGATTTTAGTCAGAAAGCAACCACTAAAAATAAATAAAAAAGAAGTATATCTATGAAAACAGAAAAGGCAATTTAATGGAGCACTAAAATAATTGTTTGAAGATCATAATGAGATGAAGTTAGAAATCAACAGCAAGAAAAATAACAGAAACCACCACATAAACACATGCAGATTGAAAAATACTCTCTCAAAGGAAGAATGGATCAAAGAAGAAATGAGAATAAAAATCAAGAAATTCTTAGGAAGGAATGAGAACAGACACAACATCAAAACCTGAGGGAGAGTATGAAATGGTTCTAAGAGGAAAATTTATAGCACTAAGTACCTACATAAAAAATAGAGAAATTTCAAATAAATAAACTTGTGTTATACCTCAAGACCTTAAAAAAGAGCAACCTAATGCCAAAACCAGTAGAAGCTAAGGAGTAAATAAGATCAGAGCTGAAATCAATTAAATTGAGAATAGGAAAACAATATATAGGATCAGAGCAACAAAGTGTTGATTCTTTGAAAAAAATGAATAAGATTGACAAAACTTTAGCCAAACTAACCAGAAGAAAGTGTGAGAAACAAATCAACAAGATCACAAAGAAAGAGGAGATCTTACCACAGACTCTTTTGAAATCCAAAGGATTATCAGAACCTATTTTGAAAATTTAACTTCAATAAACTGAAAAATCTGGAACACATTCACAAGTTTGTAGATACATATGACCTGCCTAAATTGAATCAGGTAGATAAAGAACACCTAACCAGACCAATATCAAGTAATGAAATTAAAATAGCAATTAAAATCCTTCCCCAAAAAAGCCCAGGACCTGATGCTTTCTCAGCTAAGTTCTACCAGACCTTTACAGAAGAACTAACACCAATCTTTCTCAAATTACTCATGAAATTGAAAGAGAGACAACACTCACAAATATATTCTATGAAGCCAGTGTAACCCTGATACCAAAACCAGACAAAGGCACATCAAGGACAGAAAACTACAGACCAATATCTCTTATGAACATGAATGCAAAAATATTTAATAAAATATTATTAAATTGTATTCAAAAACATATCAAAAGATTATACACCATGATAAAGTGAGTTTCATTAAAGGGATATAAAGTTGGTTCAACATACACACATCAATAAGTATACTTCATCACTTAAACAGAATTAAGGAAAAAAATCACACAATTATCTCAACAGATGCAGAAAAGGACTTTTAGAAAATCTAATTCCCATGTTAAAAATTCTGGAGAAGGTAGGGATTGAAGGAATTTACCTTAACATTGTAAAGATCATTTCTGAAAAACTCAAAGCCAACATCATACTAAATGGAGAAAGACTATTTTAGAGGCATTTCCTCTAAAATCAGGAAAGAGACAAGGCTGTTCACTCTTGCACTCCAATCCAATGTAGTCCTTGAAACACCAGCCAGAGTGATTAAGCAAGAAAAGGGAATCAAAGGGATACAAATAGGGAAAGAAGAAGTCAAACTATCTCTGTTTGAGAACAATATGATGCTATATTTAGAAGACTCAAAAAACTCCAACAGAAGACTTCTAGAGCTTATAAATGAGTTTAGCAAAGTGTATAAAGTTAATGTCCATAAATCAATAGCTTTAATATACTCCAACAGTGACTCAGCAGAGGAAGAAATCAGAGAAATCATCCCATTCACAATAACCTCAAAAAAGAGAATACCTGGGAATTAATCTAACTAAGAATATAAAAGTGATCTACAATGAAAATTATAGAACACTTGTCATCTGCTGCAGCCAGGATAGTGGGTGAACAGTTAACCAACACAATTAGTGAGCTAGATTAAGAAAATTCCTTAAAAATTATAGAAATAAGACAAGACTCAATTATTAGTGAAAAGTGGGGGATGATCCAACTCTGGTGGACAATGGCTCTAACAAAAAAAAATTAGAATATGCATTTTATTTTTATAGATAGGAACACCAAAGGGCTTCACTACGAAAAAAATTCTT